CAGAACTTAGTTGTTCTGTGTCTAAATTAATGTCTCAGTTCCTTCCAAATAATCTAGTATTGGGTTGTTGCCTGTCTGTTAGATGTTGTTGCACCCAGAGTAAGTTTTTTCTCTTTGGCTACTATTAACCTTTACTTTTCTTTAAGCTCATTTTTTTATCTGCTCTCATATTGAGGGCATCTTGTGGCCTTTAGAGTTACATGTGCAAATAGGAAAAATGGTGCAAAAACCTTGAAAATAGCTAGTTTGCAGCTTTGGAAACATTGCAAATTCATCTTAATCACATTTTGAAAATTCATGTGATATAACATTGCTTTTGATAACTTAATTGTTTTATCTTAAAAAAAAAAAAATTACTAGATGGTTCAAAGTTAAATTGTGAAGTTAGAGTTGAGTTGTCCATGCAATTCCTAGGCTTTCCCTTCTTTATTTACCCATCCCTACCCCCCMTCCAAAAAACAAAAACAACAAAAAAAGTCCATTGGCTCATCAGCCAGCAGTATTTGTTTGGTTTTAGGCTGATGGTTTTGTTTTGTTTTGTTTAGCCCACTCTCTTCAGCTCCTTTTCTTTTCAAGTGCCACATAGAGACTTAGTTCCCATGACTCACAAATCTTATCACAAGTATTTGGTTTAAAGGTTTGAAATAGGCTGCTGTTTCAAATATCTTACAACTTTGGCAGTCTTAAATTTCATTAGAAGAGCTTCCTTTGGAAGAAAAAACAACGTAATTGATAATTCTCCCTTTAGGAAGAAGATCCATATTCAGCCCCATGATGTGCCTGGAATTACCTTGATTATACGAAGGAATTAAACTCAGGTATTCCTGTTAAGGATGAGATGCCAGAATATCACTTAAATAATTCCCCTTGTGTTGCTGTTTTGTAGCACTTGGGTAGCTGAAAGTGCCAGATTTTTCTGAAAAGTAAGTAGTTTAAGTATTAATCCTGCAAAATTTAGATGTGTGTTTAACTGCAAACCCGTGAGGCGGCCCCTCGAAGCCCGTGCTGCTGTATTTGTGTGATCGGTGTGCATATGTACACACCGCTGACAAAGACAGCAAATAAGTTAGTAATTTTCTGCTGTCTTCTCAACTGTTATTTATGATGTGGAGTAGTACAGCAGTTATTCCAAAATCAGTTATAATTATCTTCAGGAAGATTAGGGTTTTTTTAATTATTTTTTTCCTGTGCCAGGCTTTGTAGTAAGCAAATGGTTTTAAGGTATCTTCAGCTGGAAACACTGCTGAAGGCTAATTGCGCTTTGCAGGAAATTTCTTCTGCGATAAGTTCACACTTTGTTAGACTTAATATGTGGGAACGATTGCTAAGATTACTTCTGCAATAAAAAATGCTTTTAAAATTTTGTCAAAGCTAGAAAGAAAGTTGTTAGAATGCAAAGAAAATATTTTTTCAATCAATTTTGCCCAAGTGCTGTAACTTCTGTTAGGGATAAACCATTAAATTAAGTTGCAAATCGAAATCCTTTTTGTATACCCTGTCACTTCACAGTTTTAATGTGATGATTACAAAATAAATCCCATCAGTAAATGGTTTAGTTGGTAGACTGAGTAGAAAGAGCTTGTACCGCCATTTCAATTCCATATGCGTGTATCTTAGCAATAGCTGGATAAACTGGATTTAATATGTTGAGTACTTTTCTGGACTAACAGTTTGGTACCTTTCATGAAATTTCACCTATATGAGGCAGAATAAATTGTATCAACATGGAATCAGAAACATTTCAGAGGTATGAACAGTGGCATATGTAAGAGTGAACTCATTCAAATTTTAGATGCATTCTCTTCTTTGAAGACTTTAAAAATGCAAGAATTGAGGAGGGGGGGAAAGATAGAGCTTCTCAAACCCCTTGGAATTTTATTCACTTTGATAGGAACAGACTGAGCCGAGCAAATCTCCTTCCTTCCCTTTCTTCCTCAAGAGCCAGAAAGACCATTCTGACTGGTTTAAGAGGTCTAATTGGTAAATAATTCGTCATGGCAATCTAATTCTTAACACAATACTTCATCATTATTTGTAGATCTTAACTCCCATAAAGCTGTTTAATAAACACGCTGCTCTAATCAGGTGAGGATAACCTCTTGATTAGGATGCAAATTGCTGTGGCCACCTCTTGGTTGGGTCATTTGGGACCTGGAGCCATTGCCCTTTGCAGGTAGATGTGGTGCTACCAGAGTGTCGAAGCAGGAGAGAGGAGTAAATACAGATATAGGGCTGCCAGTTGTTTGGCAAAATATTTTCAATCAGAGCATTCAAACCAGATCCCATTTTCTCCATCAGCAGGTTGTTGCGGTTACTCTTAGTTTTAAAGGTCACTGTGAAGAGAAAATGGACTTGGTTTGACCGTGGTTGCCCTACAGACAATTCCAGGGACTGTGCCAGAGACGTGTGAATGTTTGGGTTTAAATAATCCACCCCGTTTTAACCTAGTCTGCTTGACTGGTGTCCAATTGGGGTTTAATTCTACCCCGATTTTGGAGGTAGGGGTAATCCTTCCTGTTTAAAATTGTTTGCCTGCAGCCCCTGTGCTGGGAGTCTCTGTGGCTCTGTTCATGCAGCAGCAGCTGAGGATTTGCCTTCATGGCTACACAAGGAGGAATGAGGAATTTTAAGGCAGGATCGTTATGTTTTGTGAGTGCTGGTGTTATCCCTGGTTATCCAGGGTGTGATTAGGAGAGTGGGGTTTGTGCGGCTGCGATGCGTGCAACCCAAATCACGGTATTTTACAGGGCTGCAGGCTCTGGAGTTGGGAGCGTTTTGGCCCTGTTGTGCCGGGTCTTGTAGTGCTTGTGGCACCAGTTGTGGTCAGACTGTAACGGCTGTAGCTGGTGGTGCCTCACCCTGTCCATCGCTTCCCAACTGGCTGCCACCGGCAGCTCCCTCTCCTGCGGGGCAGGCGCTCGCGGGGAGTCCATGGATGTGCGGGGCAACATCCCGGACCCTGGAGCAGCCCTACAGAAATAACCAAGGCCTCGAGCATGCAAAAATTCCTTAAAATATTYGGATGCTGCTTACGTTTACGAGCTCCTTGTCACTTACTGTGCAGCCCTCGAAGAAGGGTGCAGGACCCGCTCTCATACTTCATTTAACTTGGAAGCACCCTGAAAAGGTTTCCGAAGAGTCGTCGTATTTCTCCAGCCTAAGTTGGGTGGTGGCAAGTGGAGGCTGCTTGGGACTTCTTTCCTCTTGGAGAAAAATAATAACAAAAAAATGAAATTAGGACAGAGCAAAATTAGAAAAATATGAAACTGAGTTCTATTTTTTCTTTTTTCTTTTTTCTTTTTTTAACTGAACAAGAATCCTTAATAGAATATAACCAAAAGGCGTTGAATAAAATGAGCTTCACCTTGTAGATGAGGGCAACCGTGGAAGATGTGATATGAATGAAGCCTGCTGCTAATGTGCAGGCTTTTAAAAAGCGAAATAACGAAAGCAGAAGGGATTTAAAAATAAAATAAACTGAATTTCTTCGTTGATTATAAGYGGTAACTGAAATGCATTGAGGGCCTGAATATTGCATTTTTTTTTTAAATCAAGATAGCTATTTCTAAAAAAATAGTAGATTGCTTTAGATGCGTAGAGAGGAGGACAAAAATAGGTGCTATGTTGGGAGGAAATGTTGGGTTTTTTTGTTTTGTTTGTTTATTTTCAACAAGTACTTACTCTCTATTCTGTATTTTTAAGGAATTACGCGGACAGCAATTTTGTTTCTTTACCCAGGCAGTGAAAACACCAAGAATCCTTTTTATAATTTGGAAAGAATGTCAAAAGAATGAAGCAGTTAAACCTAAGTGTATTAGATCATACGCCTTAAATGCACAAATAAGCAGAACTGCGATCACAGAAACCAATGGTAAAACCACCAGGAAAACTCACCCGCAAACCCTAATGACTCCCAGGGAATGACCTCAGCCATTGTGAAATTTGGGCCTGTTTGTTGACTGACATTTTTTTGTCGCGGCAGCGCGCGAGGTTGCTCCGGGGTGTGAGTCCTGCTCAGCCTAAACACTGAGGTTGAATAGAGATGGAAAATGGGATCTAGGCTGGGAGAGCTGGSATGTGATTTGGAGCTGCACACTTGGAAGCACAGGTGAAGTGTTTGCTGCTGGTAGACAGGGATGGGTAGAAATTGGTTGGAGTTTTGCTTTTCGGAAACTTCCTTGCTGATAGCCCCTTTATAGTTTATTCCCACCTGGTTTCCATGTGAGGAAAGGGAGATTTAAAGTATTTGGTTACAAATCTGCGATTTCTGTGCGAGTGCCGCTGCGATGTCGGTGTCATTCATCTCCCCCCGGCTGCGTGGGGAAAGGAAATTGATGCCCGGGGAACCTCGGCTCGTCGCAGCACCAGCTAGTAAGGCAGTGGCTGGAAGTCTTGAATTATTTCAACAAGAAAAGGCTTCTTTGGGGATGCTCAGAAATAAATCAGTGCTGCAGACTCCAAGGGGCTCTGCAGACCCGGCTCCTGCGAGGCTGCAGTGGCTAAAGAAAGTGCAGGTTTGCTTGCTACCGCCTAGCCGTGTCGGCGGCTTTAACAAAACCGGTTATTTTGTGCCATTTGCTGCATTCAGTCTCCCGGCACAGAAATTCTGATTTATCACCCGTGCTTTTGCAAAGGGGAGCAGCCTAGCGGACTGAGCAGAAACCCAAATAGCTGCTCGGTATTAACCGGTTAAGCGGGGCAGAGCTGTCGCCTCGCTGCGCGTGGCGAAGGGCAGACCTCACGGGGAAGCCGGAGCCGGGCAGTAAAGCCTCCTCTTCCCAAACAAAGGCAAGGGGACGAGGGGAAAATTTCTTAAACTCAGCAAAATGCCTTAAAAATTGGAAATGCCTCTAGGATTACTCAGACACCCACAAGAAACAGTGAGGGGAAAGTGGAGCAGACATCTGATTTCTTTTTTCTTTTTTCTTTCTTTTTTTTTTTTTAAATTTTTTTTTTTTTAAAATAGGTTGTGTGAGCAAAGCCATCCGAGGGCCCCGGTTATTTACAGCTTAGTCTCTGCACCACACGGTCGCTCGTCTGCTGTCTTAAAGGCAAGTTTCACATCTATTGCAAACTTTATCTTGTGGTGGCACTTTGATTCAGGCTGCTGCTGTGAGCTCACTTTGCCTTCATATATTTTGAAATAACTGGGCTGTTTTGAATGCAACTCTCTGCCACCAGTTAGTCCCTCTTGCTGCTGCACTTCTGTGCTCAATTACCCTGTTCCTACTTGGGTTGTAGCAATCTGTAAGATTGGAACAGCAAGTCAAAATGTATTTATAAAAAGGTTTGTTTTGCTCTCAGTGAACATTTCTGATATTGACTTAAACTTGGAGAACTGAAGTCCCGCTATGCAAATAAATGATTATTCCCCACTTCTGTGGCTCAAACAATTCAAAAAATTGCTCAATAGTAAACACAGTTTTATTTGAGAAGTTACTGTTTTTCCACTCTTTCAAAACCAAAAGTACCACTTTTATGAAACTGGAYGCTTTTGTAAGTAAAACATGCTAAGCTTATATTGGCTGCATCCAAATTTTCCTTTATTTTTTTCCCCTGTAAATTTATTTTTTAAATTTATAAACCAGCCTGGTCTGCCTGAAACATATTTTTTATTAGATAAAGTGCTACATTGATATCTCAGCAACACAGAGTTAGGAGTCAGCCTTAAATAGCTTTAAATATTAGCGTTAGCCTTAAATAWTGCAGCAAAATAGAAAAAGATAAGTTTTCCCTTTTCTTGCACTTAACTATGGGCAAATGTTAGGCATCCAACCCATCTCCCATTGCAGTCTCTAGCCAGTTTGGGCACAGATTTGTCTTATTTGCTGAGAGCAGTGTTAAATCCTCTGCACTTGTTGCAAAGGTGCATTTTTTTATAGAACAAGCTCACATTGCAAGCACAGACTGTGCAGGTCTTCAGACTTTTTTGTTTTCTCTTTAAATGACTTCAGCCTCCTTACTATCTCTGCACTTGAATATTTAAGTTGTTGTTAGAAAGAAGGTGTATCCSCTTGTTACATAAGATATAATTTTGCTTGGCAGCTGTCGCTCCTGTTCACTACAATGGCTGTAATTTGGGGAAGAGAAATGCCTGGGCAGCGAACTGATTCTTCTGTAAAATATTTGAAATGCAGTTTTGCTTTTTTTGCAAAAGTTCTGGACCAGATGAGTTTGGAAATGCCACTCCTGCCCCCCCTGCAAGCTTGGGCTGGGGGTAGGGACAAACGCTTGGCTTTGCATTGAAAAATCAGTGTGCTGCCAAAAACAAGATGTGTTAATGCCAGAATTGAACTTTCTCCTTCTCAAAGACCCTGGGGCTTCCCCTTCCTGCAGATCCCCCACCACAAATGAAGGTTATTCAATCGTTACAACAATTTGACTGTATCTGGGGTGGAACGTGGCYGTTGCACATGGAAGCCCTGCCTTGCATCCCGCTTCAGGATGGGAAGTGGGAAAAGAAGRTGGTTTTGAACTTGAGCTTGGTGGAGGGGGCGGATGGCAGGTAATGATCCTGTCCCCCTCCCCTGGGATGAACAGGGCCTTGGGGAAAGCACTGTAGGCCATGAAGCTACCTAGACATATTTAGTTCTACATTTCTACTGTTTAATTCATCTCTTCTCAGTTTTTCTTTGGTACATAGAAGCTGTATTTGCGCGTAAGCTCCRTAGTCTGTGCTTGTTGATGGGCTCTTTACCCCCAGCACCATCCACTGCCAGGTGCCTCTCCTGCTGTCAGCATGGCCTCAGCTATAGAGGGGACTCTTTTCCTTAATAACTCTATTGTAACATCAAAAAAGTGGCTTAATTGATGATTAAGCACATATGATTAAGCATGTGAAGTCATTTAGGAGAAGTCAGTAAGGCATTTGCATAGTACTTAGTATTAGTTATAACCTATAAATGTCTTTTATTATCATRGTGAAGGAGAAAACTCCACTGAAAGGATCCATAGCTGCGAAGTTAATGCTTGGATATGACCTTTGTAACTAAAGGCACAATTAAAATATTATTTTGCTTTCTCAAAAAAAGTATAAAAGCAAAATTCTGTGTTCACTGACTTTACTGCTGTATTTCAAGGGCCTGTGACTTCAGCTTGCTACTTTTTTTAAGACWTTGTTTTCTGCTTTTGCTTTTACAATTACTTCACAAAAGAAGAATCAGTATTTCACTTTTTAAATAAACTGTGGTAGCTTCTATGTAGTTAATGTTCCAAATTAAATATTTAAAGAARGGAAAATATTATCTAACTTTTTATAGACACCATTGTAGGCACRCTTATTTTTTTGTTTTGTTCCTAAAAGGAAATAACTCCTCCTTCTAAATGTTATTTTAAATATAAATTTTCAAAGTAAAGTTAGTGTTCAATTGCTTTATGGCAGTGTCTCCCTGAATAAGTTCAGAAAAGTCATCCTATATTAACCCAGTTGTGGGTTTTTTGTGTGGTGAACTTATAGAGGTAGTAAAATTAAGCCATTTTAAAATGMAATGGTTCAATGATTTATTGCAGCAGAGTAGGGAAATGCCTCTAGAGATTTTAATATCTTCCACCTGGTATGAAATGAAAGGAAAATACTCTTTAACTGGTGACTAATTTGTCACCAGTCCCCAAAGGTGCCCCCATTACAATGCAAGGATGTCAGCGTGAAGAGAAACGCGCGGTGCGCAACCTGCRCCGCTTCCCGCGCCTGGGGCGAGGAGAAAAATAAAGCCCTGGAAAGCAGCCGAAGGAGYGGGAAGGAGGGCGCTGGAGCCAGCCAAGGTGCTGGAGCCATCTCGGTGGGGATGACCTACCGCCTCCTGGTAGCTTTTTGGGGGGAGCTATCACATGTTTTGGGGGGGTTTCTTTTGTTCTTTTATAGTCTCTACTTTCTAATGTCTTTCATCCTTGACCGCAGTGTTGGATGAACTGGATCCAAGGTTTAGTTCCAATGAAAATGCTGCCAGGGATATTTATGTCTATTGACAGCTCCGGCCTGCCAATGAAAGTCAGGCCTTGGTCCTATCAGGTCACTTTTCCCAGTAGAGAGCTATACCAAAGTCCAAGCACCTGCCTATTTAGTGTCACCACTGAGGCCTTTGTTAGGATAACAAAAGCTTGGTCAGGTTCCTGCCCTTCCAGCCTTGCAGCTTTATGGGAAGCTCAGTTTGAGAAGGGGGAGCTCCAACCGCTGAAAGCACGTGGAGCGTGGCAGGAGGACTTAACCCATCTTCCTTAGCAAATTCCTTCAGTGCTCTTGCCCATGAGTAGTCACAGTGCAGCATTTCGGTGAATATTGGCCAGCAGGAAGGTTAGATTTGGGAATAAGAAGCGAATGTTGCCCCCAAGAGAGTCCCTGTTGGAAGCATGTGCACGATACCTTTGTAGTGAAAGTCCCTGTGCTATGGAGGGAAGTCCGCTATGGAGGGAAGTCCTGGTGGGTCCTGCAGCTCCCAGCCAAGTTAATATACTTTTTTTTTTCTCACCAGAAACAATAGTTTGAATCTCATGTGTTTTATGGTTATTTGGAGTAAAAGAAGACTTTCCATTCTGTCAAAAGCAAGTCATCAAAAGGGGAATGATTATTTCTGTCATTCTTCTTGTAGTTTTAACATATTCTTTGGTTACAGCAGTAAGGAAAAAGACATGGAGGAATAAGAAAAWTTTTTTTTGCATGATAAAATCAGCATTTTATCAACATAACAGACTGATCGGGAAAGAGAGCACATCTTGTTTTGGGGAATAGCTGTTGGTTTTAGAGCATTTCAGAACAGGAAGGGAAAGGGAAGGGTGGTGCAGAATGTCTTGCTTTTTCTGTGTCCAAAGTGAAATAAGAGAGAAGTCTGAYAATAAGGAGCAGTCCCTGGTCTCTGAAACATAAAATTAGACCCACCTTTTCAGAGTCTGAGGTGATGCCGAAATGCTGTTCCAGCATTTTGTGGGCACAAATGATCGTGCGCGGAAAGCTGAGCTCATGGCTAACTGATGTCTAAGGGCTGATTTTTTTTCAAAATAATCTGATGTCATTTGTACTGTAATATGCTGGCTGTTGAAATGTGTTGTGTTCTTTTACATGGCTGTCTGAATGGGATTTGCATTTTTCCTGGTGCAGGATATGAGTTTCTTATATCTGTTTGAGAGGGTTTTTTTGTTGTGTTTAGCTTGTTTGGGGTTTTTTTTTTTTGTTTTTAGTTGCTTGTAACTTTGTAGCTGCTCAAAAATCGTAAASGGTACTGGATCTGTCCTCCTTGTTTCTCGAAAGACACAGTCTTTTGATCTGTTTGGGGAGGTTTGCCTCCTTAGAAAGAGCTGAGATGGTCTTTTTAGAAGAATTACGTGGAGGATGAACCTGTTAGGCCAGCCTCTACCTAAGTAAGAAGATTTTTGTTCAGTGGCCACTTTTTTTTTTTCTTTTGCATTTTCAAATAAATCAGTATTTTATGCTCTGTAGCTGTTAAGTTGTGGGARCTGCAGAATCTAACTCATCACATGAGTAACCTGTAGCCAGCTGCTCAGCTCAGTGTTACCGGTGAGCAGAATCCCACTGGTTTTCTAATGCTCTTCCATTTTCTAATCATCTACTAGGGCATTTTGGTCCAGAGTTTGACTCTAGCAGTTATACCCCGTGGATCAGCCCATTGTGCACCGAGCTGGAGTAGACGTCAAGTTCAAGTTGAAAGCCTGCATGTGAGCACAGTTAATGCGTTAGGAGGGTAGGCATAGTCCTTAAAGCCATGTTATTTTAATCTGCTTGTCAGTTAATATTAAAATAGTAGAAGTGGTGCCAACCTCAACTGTATTGGAGTATTTAATTGTAATCCTGTGTTTACTGGAAAGGGAAGTAAAATCGCTTAAGTGGAGCAGTGATTTGGGCAGGCTCTTCTGGCACTGGAAGTACAGCCAACCTGGGAGCAATAGGACCTTTCTGCAAGCAGSTATTTTGGTGGGCTGAGTGCACGGTCTCAAGGCTGGGTTAAGCTGATGGAGATGATTGTCACCTGCTGAAATGGCCTCTTGCCCTGTCTGCATGGTCACCTCTCCTGTGGTGTGAGTGCAACTGGACAAATGGGAT